CTTTTTATTTTTAGAAAGAGATTGTATTTATAATCAACCCCCTTTAAATAAAAATAAACACTTATAAAAAATATTTTGGGAACTTGGGTGTAGTGTCTCATACTACTTTTTTGCTGGTTGGGGCACTGGTAATCTTATGGGGATCCTGAGAAAATTTAGAATTATAGTTAAATCTTGACTGTAGTCTGTGAAGACAGATTGTCTCAGCCAGTTATTTTGAAGCTGATTTTGGATGTTGGATCATCTGGGCCATGATGTCATCAGAGATCTTTCAGGGGATCTTGTCTGGTCAAACCATATCAGCTTGGAAGCAATCCACAGGTTCTCATCTTCTGTGGAAACAAAAGCAGACCCTCTTTACCAAAGCAATGTATCCTTAGACACAAATTTTGAAGTCAAGATACCTTTAAAATATATATATTGCCTTAATTTAGTAGTCTTTACAATCAAATGTCTTTCTGCAGTTAAAAATCCCAAAGACAATATAATCCAGACTCAGTGTGTGATTTCCATCTTTATGTGGCTTACTTTTTTATATTATTTTACTGTCTCTTTAAAGACTTTATTTTTTAAAGCTTTTTTTTTTATATATATATAACTGTCTATACACCCATTTCAGCTTGTTAATGTGGCAGAGGTAATTCACCTCCAGCTCTGGGAGCCATGCTCTCCACTGACTCTGGGAGGCAGTGGGTCCATGTCAGAAACCTTTTTTTTTCTGTACTAGCAAAAGCTAAATCCACCATGCAGTGTGCTGCGTGGCTTGGAGATGCCTCTGTGTACTGCAGCAGGAATCCGCCATGCTGCAACTCAAGCCCGAATCCTGCAGCATCTCACAGCCTTCATGAGACATGAAGTAGGAAGCTGGTTTTGGCTCCATTTTAGAATCCGTTTTATTAAGTTCTCTCAGGTTTTAGGTGGAAATTTGAGCCAACATGTTGGGCAGCCAAATGTAGTTGAAAGTTTTGTTTGGTCCCGCCCGGCCCCTCAGTCCTGCAACCTCTTATAAAATAATCACACAGAGGCTTAATATTATTTACAAACTTATGGTCATGGCCTATGGCTCAAGCTTTTTGCCAGCTAGTTATTAATCTATATGTTGCCACGTGTTCCATGGCTTTACCTGTGTGCCATTACATACTGGGATGGCAGGATGGTGGTCTGCTCTGCCTCTCCTTTCTTTTCCTGTCTATCTGCTTGGATTTCTACCTGCCTCTAAGCTGCCTTGCATAGGTCAGTGCAGCTTTATTTATCAACCAATCAGAGCAACACATATTCACAGCATACAGAAAGACATCCCATGCAATGTGCCCAAACTCTGAAGTCATATGCTGTGTTCATGTGCCCAGAATTCTGAAGAGCCATTGTGTTTCTTTATGAACAGTTCTTCCAGTGATGTTCTAGCCTCAAACTGAAGACCCCACACAACAAGGCAAAACCTCAGAATCTTCATTTCCACTGATTCACAATTTTATATTATATACAGTACACACTCAAAAATTTCCATCTTTCACAGTGCATTATTACAACTGTTAGGAAAATGGACTGCCACTACCAGAGATGTTGTGGTTTTGACTGAGCAGGGACCAAATGGTGGACTTTTGGGAAATGGTTCTACTAGAAACATGAGATCAGACATATTCCAGACATAAATGCACAACTGAAACTCCAAATTGTAGTTTAGTATGCTTTGTATTGTAGGATATAAAACTAGCCCCTCTATGGAATGTTAGCTGATCCCGAGACTGACGCAGCCTCTTCTAATTCAGTACCCCACTGTCTTCTGTTGTACCAAAAAATAAATAACCAGCGAATGATTTCACCTCGTAAAAAAATCATTTACACTTAAAAAATGGGATGAGGTGGATCTCTCCCTCCCATTTAAGAATGTTTCTAGAGCTTCTTAAAAACTCGCATTTACAAGATAGTTGATCAAATATTCCTCTGGGTTGTACAAGAAGGGAGGCAGGGCCACTGACAGACACGATGGATGGCTAGTGGGACTTGGCCTCTTCCCCTTCTGCTTCAGAGGCTGGACTCTGGCTCTCTGTCTCAACACTTCCACAGGCAGATCTGTGTTTGCTGGTCGGCCCCTGGAGCCTGCTTGTCCCTTGCTCCCCTCTTCCCTTTCGTTTGCACTTTTTGTGTCTGGCGATTTATGGCCATCAGAGGCCTTTTCTGGCTTCGGGCCCTCCTTCAGGTCCCCACGTGGGTCTGCCTAACAGCCTGGCAGGGCGGCCTTGGCCTCCACCTTCGCTGCCTGTCTGCTGTGCTAACCTTCCTCTTGGCCATTCTGGCGGCACTAGGTGGAGACACATGTGATGCCGAGCCTGCCACAGAGCGGTGCTGCAAGCTGCCCCCATATTGACTGCAGCGACCCGTCACGGGGCCCGTGGGAGCTGTTCATCACGTTCTTACTACCTGCTTATTTTCTCCAGATCGATAGTTACGTTCTTCTTCATTTTTAACCACAACGTTTATGTCTGTCTTTTAAAAAGAACTATTTTACTGAGAATCTCCCAATTTTATTTTTAAATTTTTACTATTTTAGTATGTATGTATGTATGTATGTGTGTATGTATGTATGTATGCATGTATATATGTGGGTGGCTGGCACATATGTGGCACCCGTGCATGGGGAGGTCAGAAGAAAACCTGTTGTATTTATGAAGTTGTCCGTGAGTTCTTTTGCTTACCATTATAAGTTAAATTGGCTTAAAATAGTATATGTGTTCTTTATTTGTGTTTATCATTGTTATTACAAATTGCTAAATTATAGAATTGGTTCATCAATTTCCAGATTTCTGTTATAAGTAAGAATAGATTTTGTTTTTGGTCGTGGTCCTGGGCATCGCACCTGTGACCACACACGTGCTGAGCAAGCTCTCCACCACTGAACTGTACTCAGGGAGGAAAGCTCTATCGCGAGTGCTCTTTGTATGTTCCACAGGACCACTGTGTAAATGGACACCTTTGTTCTTCCTTTCTTCCTAATGTAGCTCAGCCACAGACTCTCCGTGAAGCACACGGCCTTCAGTACTTTCTTTTCTTTTGTCCTTTCTTTTTATTAGTTTGTTTGAGATGAGGTCTGTGTAGCTGACTGTCCTGGAACTCACTTGGTAGCTCAGAATGGCCCTTGAACTCATCACTTCTGTCTCAGCCTCCAGAATTCTGGAAATGCAAGTAGGAGCCGCCACATCCAGGTCCCACAGTTGTTTTATGGTCAGGCTGATGGATCATTTGTAACTTAGTATTTGGCCAGTGATTCAAAGGGACACTTGTATACATAATTTACACCATGAGTGCTGCTCTCTGGGAGCTCTGAGCTGCACATCTGTTTTGTTCTACCCATTCATTCTCTACTTAGGCTCCTACTTTTGCATGCTACTGTTTGGAAACTACCCCCAGCCAGAAACCAGTACCGAGGGGAGATTGGCTCATCTCTTTCCCTTCTCTACACAGGACGCAGTTCTGCCCACAGTGCCCGTGGACACTCATTACCTGCATTTTGTCAGTGCATGAATGTTCACAGTGATTTCACTGGAGCTGGAAATGACATGAGGCTCCTTGTCAGGGGAATGAATTTTGTTTCACAAAATTTCCATTTGGAAAAATATCACTAAAATTCCAGACACACTTAAAGAGACATTTTTTAAGATGAAATTTTAATTTTTATCGTTGTGTGTGTGCAGGCGCACATGTGCCGTGACACCTGTGTGGAAGGTGGCAGACAAGTGTCAGGAGTCGCCTCTCTCCTTCCACCGCGGGTTCCGGGAACTGAACTCAGGTCACTAGCCTTGTGTGGCATGCACTTCTACCCACTGAGCATCTGCTCTGGAGATGTTTGAAGGCTGAGTTAACACTGAGTTTTACATGGTAAAAATGGAGTATTAGGTATAAAAAATGAGTTTATGTATAAAAGGTTACTTTAAAGTTGATTTGAAAGCCACCAAGGAAAAGAGGGTCAAAGGCAAAAATAATACTAGAAGATCCAAAAGATACAAAGTTATTTAGTCAGATTTATTAACTTAGTCATTTGCCTGCTCGGTGCTAGAGATATGCATATGACTTTAAAATAATCTTTCTCTTCAAGAAATACAAGGAACATGTGGAAATTACATTCAAATAAACAATTAAAAAGTCAATATATAGTGGAATCCACTGAAGGGACAGTTTACAAAACATCTGATCAGTACTCGTGAGTGTGTGTGTGTGTGTGTGTGTGTGTCCGTGTGTGTCCTCCTGCTTATGTGTATATGTGCATGTGTAAGCCAGCTCAAGTTCCATAGACTCCATCCACCTTTCTGTTTGTTTGCTTGTTTTCCTTTGCTGAGATGGGGGTCTGCCAGTGGCTAGAACATCCTGTATATGCGAGGCTGGCTGGCCAGTGAGCCGGGGGACCTTCTAGTTTCTACTTCCTCAGTGTGCCTGGCTTATTTTTGCATGGTTTCTGGGAACTGAACTCAAATCTCTGTGGTTGCCAGGCGAATATTTTACATGCTGGGCTGTCTCTCTAGCCCCTGATCTTCAGTGCTCTTTGGGAATGTCAACATTGTTAAAAATAAGAAAAGTCTGGAAACTGCCATAGTAGGGAAGAGCTTAAGGAAGCATGATAACTGAATAGATTGTTATATCTCAGTGAGGCTAAAAGAACATTTGTTTAAAATGAAGGATGTCTGAATAAAGTATAAAATTTAGTTATGAATAATGTGTCAGCCATTAGTCATGACTGTAACAAATAAACCACAATCGTGTAAGATGTAACCAATAGGAGAGCATAGGTATGGCGATATACGAGAGCTGTCTATATCATCCTCTCCATTTCTCTTAAAATCTGATGTTGCTCTAAAAGACAGTCTTAAAAAGGAAAAATGAAAATACAGTGATACTGATAAAATCCAAGGAGTGACTTCAGTAACAAACATCCCAGGAGCGTTTGAGTAATGTGAGTAACAGTGCTGCTGCAAGTCTTACAAACACCATTTAAACTTGTGTTTCAGCATGGATAGCGATGGGTCAATGACAATAGACTGGGATGAATGGAGAGACTACTTTTTCCTCCACCCTGCAAAAAATGTCAATGAAATTATTCGTTTCTGGAAGCATTCTACTGTAAGGTTACTCTGCATTTTACTGTTTTTATTTTTCTTTAACTGTTATAGTTGTAAATATCATTACATAGTTCCCGTTATAGTTTTAGTCTCAATGGCTAAAGATGTGTTATTTACTTTTAACAATATTCTTATTTAGTAAGGAGTGTTAGTATTTTATGTGCAAACATAGAAACCACAATTTGCTTGTTAAAACCTATGTCTTAATAGGTGCCTACTAAGAGGATCTATTCTGTGTTAAAAATAGTGTTGTTATATGTAGTTGTGTTGTCCTAGAAAAGTGAAAAATATGTGTTTTCTTTTTACACAGATAATCACATGCTTGAGTGGGTCTTTTGGCATTGGGAATATAAAATTACATATTAAGATTTCAGAATTTAGAGTAAAAAAGGAAGGAATGTACAAGTTATCTGCTCTTTTGAGTTTCATAAGCCCCTTGACCTGAAGTTGTAAGGAGTAAAAGAAATTCTGCACTGAAAGTCTTTCAAGTCCTTTAGATGCAAGGTGGGGGAGTTAAAATGCTGCACCCACAACACTCAGTTCTCATCACTGTTCCCTCTTCTCTCCATAGACAGTCCAGAAGAAAAAGAAACTATTAGCTCTGGAGTCAGAGTGTGCACGTTTGAACCCACACCTCACACCCACTCTCTGTGTCTCCGTGCCTCAGTCTCCCATGAGATAGTGGAGATAGGTGTATGAGTTTTCAGAGTTCAATTAGTGCATTAGTCAATGTGTTTAAAACAATCTAAGAAAACATGTTTTCAATAAACACTTGTTAGGTTAGCCTCTTGGTTTCATCTGTGTTCCTGAATGTTTGAACATGTGAGGAGCATGTAACATCATTTCTCATCTGGTTTTGATTTCTATAGTATTTTGATAACACATCTGATTTCTTACTTTTTGACCAGCCTTTCCATGTTCACTTAATTTATCTCCTATAACTACTACTCAGGATGTATTATTACATTTTTCTTTTATTGGGAATAGATTTTTTTCATACAATATATTCTGACTACAGTTTCCATTCCCCCAGTGGAATGGGGGAGAGCAATGAAAGAGACATCTTGATGGGGGCTGCATTTCAGGGTCAGGGAGAAGCCTGGTGCCAGGGAAACACCCAGGAATACACAAGGATGACCCCAGCTAAGACTCCTAGCAATAGTGGAGAGGGTGCCTGAACTGGCCTTCTCCTGTAATCAGATTGGTGACTACTCTAATTGTCATCAGAAATACACTATTCAGTGACTGAGGGAAGCAGATGCAGAGAGCTACAGCCAAGCACTGGGCCCAGCTCCAGGAGTCCTGCTGAAGAAAGGGAGGGGGGATTGTTTGAGCCAGGGGGGTCAAGGTTATGACAGAGGAACCCACGGTTGACCTGAGTGGGAGCACCTGGACCCTGGATCAACAAACAGTTAGGGAGCTTGCATGAGACTGACCTAGGCCCTCTGCATGTGTGTGTGACAGTTGTGTAGCTTGCTGCATTTGTAAGGCTCCTAGCAGTGAGATCAGGACCTGTCCCTGGTGCTTAGCTGGCTTTTGGGAACCTGTTCCCTATGCTGGATTACTTTACCTCAACTTGATGTGCCATGCTTTGTTCAAGCCTGTGGGGGGGCCTGCCCCTTTCTGAATGGAGATGGAGGAGTGGATAGGGAGTGGGGTAGACAGGAGTGGGGGGGGGGTGAGGGAACTGGAGGAGAGGAGGGAGGGAAACTGTTGAAAGTGTGTGTGTGTGCACGCGTGCGTGCGTGCATGCGTGTGTGTGTGTGTGTGTGTGTGTGTGTGTGTGTGTGTGTGTGTGTGAACGGGTTGTGTAAAAGACTTGCTGCTATGTAGAGGAGCGATGTGAAGAGATGTGGAGGGAGTGTGTGAGTGTGTATTAGAGTGTGGGGGAGGTGTGCAGAGGGAGCTGAGGAGAGGGCATGAGTAGCTAGGCAGGGGAGAGAGCTAGAGAGATTTTCAGAGAGGATTTTTTAAGATGAAGTAAAAGAGAAAGTTACTATCAGAAAGTGTATGTTTCCTTATTTTTTCCCCTCAGATAGAAAAAGTCTAGCCCTCACAACATTCATGGAATTTTTTGCATACCCTGGTGCTGACTAGAGGCTGGACCTCCCAGTTAGCGTTACCAGACATCAGCATAAACACACAATCAGTAATAACCAGGGCACTATTTCTCCACTAGAACCTAGCAACTCTACCACAGTAGACCCTGAGAAATGCAACATAGCTGAAGCACAAGACAAGGACTTCAAAATAACCTTTATGAAGATGTTAGAGGTCCTTTAAAAGGATATGAATACATCCATTAATAAATCTATGAAAACACAAACTGAAATAAAATGAAGAACATAGTTCAAGACTTGCAAGTAAAAATGAAATCAATAAAGAAAACCCAAACTGAAGGATAAATGGAAAAAAAATGTAGGAACTCAAATGGATACCCCAGAGGCAAGCCTCACCAACAGAATGTAATTGGAAGAGAATCTCAGGCATTGAAGACATGACAGAAGAAATGGATATATTAGTCAAAGAAAACGTTAAATCTAAAACATGCAGGAACTCTGGGACACTATGAAAAGAACAAAGCTAAGGATTAAGGGAATAAAGGAAGGAGAAGAAACACAGGCCAAAGGCACAGAAAATATCTTCAACAAAATGATAGAAGAAAATGTCCCTAACCTAAAGAAGGGAGTACCTATTGAGGCACAAGAAGTCTACAGAATAGTAAGCAGATTGGACCAGAAAATCAATTCCTCACAGCACGTGATAATCAAAATGCTGAAGATACAGAAAAAAAATATTAAAAGCTGCAAGAGAAGAAGACCAAATAACAGGTAAAGGCAGAAAAACACCTGACTTCTGAATGGAGACTCTGAAGCCAGAAGGGCCTGAACAGATGTTCTACAAACTCTAGGAGACCACAGATGCCAGACCAGAATACTATGCCCAGCAAAACTTTCAAGAACAATATGGAGAAAGAAAGAAATCCCATGATAAAACCAAATTCAAGAAGTATCTATCTACAAATCCAGCCCTACAGAAAGTGCTAGAAGAAAAATTTCAACCTGAAGAGGTTAACCACACCCAATAAAACACAAGGGATAAATAATATCAGAACAACAAATCAAAAAAGAAGAGGAAAAAAACCCACATCTGTGGGGGCCCATAGAGACTCTGAGGTCATGACACTTGAATTCAAATTTGGGCTTTGAGGCTTCTAAGTTACATTAACTATAAAGAATTATTTTCTTGCATTTTAAATTTGTAATTTTTATTTTTAAAATACTATTTTATTTTTATTAGTTCTTTGAGATTTTGTGCAATGTGTCTTGATCATATTTACCCCTTACCCAACTCCTCCCAGATCCACTCTACTTTACCTGCCTACTCAACTTTGTCTCCACTCTCTTAACCCATCAAGTCCAATCTGTGCATTCAGTGTTTCCGTAGGGTTTTCTCTGGGCACTTGTATTTGCTACCTTTGTTGTTGTAGTTGTTGCTCTGTATTGTAGTTGATGGTATCTTTTCCCTGTGTCTCCTATTATAGAGACAATGATAACAGAGCACTGTAAAAGCTAGAGGCAGAAACCCCCTTCTCCATGACTGTGTCACTAATGCAAAGCCCAGAGCCTGGCATGTTGACGTTTGCTTCACCAATGTCGATTGAGCACCCTTGTCTTCAGGAGCTGAGATCTAGGTTTCCAGCAGTACACAGGGAGACCAGGTTGCTGGCCTCATCCGGCTTACTTTGTACAAGAGTAGCCAACAATAAACAGAGTAAACTAATCAGTCAAGATTGTGCATTATTAGACAGGAAGCGACTGAGTCAAGAAGAAACCTCTGTGGGCAGAGGGAAAACAAATTTGAGAAGGTTCCTGAAAGGGCATTAACAGAATGAATAAATCAAAGAGGGAAGCTAGGAAGAGCAGCCGCTTACCTATCTCATCGACAGTAACAGAATCCAAGTCTAGTTTGGTGCTCTTCACTGAAACGCAATGCTTCGACACTTAAAACATACTCCTCAGGAAATAAATTATGGTTGCTAAAGGTAAAATTACTAAATATAAACTCACTGTAATACACATTTTTAAAGAGAAAATCAGTCAACAGAAGGTCACTGAGTAAGTCAGAGTGCATAAGTTGCTATTCTTGCCTCCTGACTTTAACTCATATGTATGAGTTTGGAATAGAGTGTGGAAATTTACTCAGTATTTATTCCTCACCTAGTATGTGGCAGACACGGTGTGAGTGGCGTGTTCCCTGCTCTCAGGCTTACATTGTTTTCGTGGAAGAGATTATTTAAATGGTTTGAGAATTATTTTAAATTAATAGCTAATTTAATGAAAATTTTATTTTAAATCTGTATGTGAAGGTGTTATACCAAGTAATTTGAGTATAAGCACCGAGTACTAAGCAAATTGTCAATCTTCAGTATAGGAGGTGATTTGAAAAATAAATGTTGAAGTTTTTGCTCTGTGTGAAAAGTTTTTCTTGATCTTTGTAGAAAGTTATGCTTTGATTTCTCAAGTGTTTCCACTTCAGTGTCTAATTCTTCTTTTTCACTTCTCAGATAGTTGATATAGGGGAGAGCATAAGTATTCCCGATGAATTTACAGAACAGGAGAAGAAGTCCGGGGAGTGGTGGAAGCGCTTAGTGGCCGCAGGAATAGCGAGTGCCATCGCGCGGACGTGCACGGCGCCTTTGGACCGCTTGAAAGTCCTGATGCAGGTAGTTTGCGTGCCTTGAAGGGACATGGAGAGTCCTCGATCATTAAAACGTTACTTTTCAGTGTCTGGCAGATGTCATAGTACTTCTCATTGAGATTTTGTGCTTTCTTGGAAATGTAAATGATTTTCTCTTTCCTATCAAAACATTCCGCCCTTTTCTTCAAGAGGCTTCTATGGTGTTTGGAATGATCAATCTTGAATGTCAGTTTCACTGGACTAGGCTGAGCTTAGCAGATGAACAAAGCACTCACCTGAGCGGTCTATCAGGGCATTTGCTGGAGGATTAACTAAGGGAGAGGAATCACCCTGAAGGCGGGCAGCACTCTAGGTGACGCTGGGCCTCAGAGGAGAAGAAAAGGAAACGGGGAGCTAGCTGGACATTCGCTCTCTCTGCTCCTTGCCACATGGGGGGAACTCCACTGCCTGGCTGCCGTGAAAGAAATCTCTAAAGACGTGAGGCCAAAGGAGCCGGTCCCTGTGTGAGGCTTGCTTCCTCATGGTGTGAAAACACGACCTCATACAATACTCACAGGAATTTTACCTTCAAATAACAACAGAACTCCTCTATTAGACTGGTTTTCAGAAGCACAACTAGGCTACCCAGTAATTATTAAAATTCATAATTACAATTCAATACTTGCTAAATACTTTTGCTGTAAGAATATAAAACGCAAGAAACAATATAGTGAATTTAAATTGGTAATTAAAATGATATATCTGGGTGTTTTATTGTCCTTTGTTGTTTTGGTTATATTGGTAACCTTTGGTGATGAATTATGGATAGTTATTATAGTATACTATGATAATTATGTAAAATTGTAATGTTACCTAATTAAGAACTTTGTAATTTGTCTGTAATTGTTCATCATTCTCTCAAAATCTGTGACTCTGCTTAAATATTAAATTTATATGTCATTTTTAGAATATATATTGTGTTAGAAGGATATTATTTTGGATTAAGGGAGCTTTATTTATTTATTCCATACCTGTTTAGCAGAGTATATTATGTGTTAGGTCTTTATTTATTTCTTTTTTTGTTGTTTTTTTTTTCGAGACAGGATTTCTCTGTGTAGCTTTGGCGCCTTTCCTGGAACTCACTCTGTAGCCCAGGCTGGCCTCGAACTCACAGAGATCCTCCTGCCTCTGCCTCCTGAGTGCTGGGATTAAAGGTGTACACCACTGCTGCCTGGCCTGTATTAGGTCTTTAAGGGGCATTAGGTACTGTACCAAGTCAGACACACTTTTTAACATTGGGGGAATTATAATACATCAGGGAAATAGATAATTAGATAATAAATACTGAAGTGCCATTATAGAACTGGACAGAAAACACACTCGTACCATGGGAATACCAAGAGGGAATAGATACTATTTTATTTCTTCTTCTTATGTCTCATGTAGCTATATAATAATATCTTGGTTAATTTATCCAATGGAAATAAAGGCTTTAGTTTAATCATCTAAAATATGGGGAATATAGTTTAGTTATGGTAATAGGGCAACTAACCCACTACCCTTCTATGTGTTTGATTCCATGTGTAACCCATATTCTATTCAGCCAGGAAGCTAAATTTGGACAATTGTTAGGAAAGACAGAGTCGAAAATGTTCTGTTACATGTTAAAGTAGAAAATCAAGTTTTCCCAGTACCTGGGCCTCCAATAAAAAATTTTAAAATTACATATAAACAAAATAATAAGGACATTTGGGATGATATTTTATTTGTATGTTAATAAATAAAGTTTGCCTGTCGATCAGAGGAAATAGCCAGCCATTAACACAAAAGTCAGGCAGTGATAGCACACACTTTTGATCTGATCACTTGGCAGGCAGGGTCTCTGTGTGTTCAAGGCCACACTAGGGAACAGAGCCAAGTGTGGTGACACACGCCTTTCATCCCAGTGCCAACCATAGAGACCTGGAGGTCTGTACAGACAGGCAGTGACAAGGAAGTGAGGTAGCTCGGCTAAGAGCCAATGAGAGGGCAGAACAGCAAGGCAAGAAAGACATGGATAGACAGTAAGTAGCTCACATTTTGGAAGCTACAGAGCTGGTGAGGTAAGGTGCTTGGTGGCTCTCACTAGTTCCCTGATCTCTAAGGCTTTCACCCCTATATTTGGCTACATGTTCTTTATTTAATAAGACCTCTTAGAAATTTGGCTACAGACATTTACAGTGGTACACAGAGGAGACATGGTTGAGAGGTAGCAGACGTGGAAATGGGGCCAAGAGGGAAAATTAAGAAGAAAGATAGCTTATGTGCTTATTCCATGTTAGGTGCTAGAACTGCAAAGATGAACGAGCATAGTTCTTATTGTCCAGAACATTACAGACATATAAATCTGTGATGATGATATGATATTGAAAAGAGTAATTGTTACTTTAGAGGTTTTGCTTCACACAATCTGGGAAAGAACATTGTAGGTACACCAAGGTAGAGATGATTAGATCTCTAAAGGCTACACATACGTCATTGGATTAGGGAGAGTGAAAAAGCATGCAGCAACATCTGCAGTGAAACAGTGTTTGCTGGACATGATGGGGCTGCTGCACAGTGCATTCACAGCAGCTGCAACCACATGCACAAGACCTGTATGAGATCAAGCCAGCTAAAACCACAGCATGGGCAGGGGAGGCTCCTTCATGAAATCCTGTCTCTGAGGAGCAATTGGCAATTGATGGCTGCTGAGAGAGGGAGTTTCATCCCCAAGGATGTGGCCCCTGAGAGGCTGTGCTCCAGGAGATGGTCCTAGACCCATGCACATCCTTGAGCATCAAATGCACACAGTGGATTAAAAAGCACATGAAGTTGAGAGGGATAAGTGATGGAAGGGATGGGGAGGACATGGAGGGGATGAAATGGGGGTAGACATTTGATCAAAACACATTATGTATGTATGAAATTATTAAACAAAGAAATCTCAGATTAAAAATATGGAGCAAATGTGGGGTAATGGAAAGAATGAAAAAAGGAAAGAACTAAAGCAGATAGAGTAGGAAAAGGATGTGAAAAAGGAAAGGAAAATGCAGAAAAATAGAGAATATGGAGGGAGAGTAGATAAGAAATGAATTAAAGTGATGATACAGGCCTGTACTCTTAGCACTTGGGAAGTGGAGGCAAGAGAATCAGGAGTCTAAGGTCATCCTCAGTAACATAGCAAATTTAAGGTCAGACTCTGTCTGTCTGTCTGTCTCTCACACACACATTTTTTAAAACCATAAGATGACAGGAAAACAAAAACACAGGAAAGCATGGAGGTAGACATTAGCTGACCTGTAATTCCCACAGCTCCCTTTGTTAGAAATTCAATTCAGTAACAAAATACCACAGCCTGGCATAAAATCAGAAGTGTGGTGTTGTAGTTCTGGAGGACCAGTCAAGTAGACAGCAGAGCTGACTGCTCTCAGGGTGCTGAGGGAGTCTGCTCCCGGTGCCTTTCCTTGACTTGGATACTTCATATTGCCTTCCTTCTTGGTATGCTATTTCTCTATGTCCAATTTTCCCTTTTATAAGGATAAAGGTAATAGTAGATCAGCTTGACTTCATCTGCAAAGACCCTATCCAAATAGGACCACACCCTGAGGGAATAGGAGTCTGGGCTTCAACATATTTGAGCGCTACAATGCAATCCACAATACCCTGAAGTCTCAATGTATTCACCTTGAAAGTTTGATGTATTTTCATCCAGTTCTGTTTTCAATGCATTTCAATGTGTATTTCAACATTTCAGTGTGCTCTTTAATAATCTTGGGGTACTTTTGATTGCAACCACACACTTTGCTTATGCTGAGGGTCTCTGTCTTCCATAAGTTGTCTTTATTTTTCTTTGATGTTTTAGATTACAATAGTCCCCATCTCTGGGAGAATTTTCCCATTGGTTACCTTACACTGCAGATAGTTCTAAACCCTGGAATATTGTATTTTACCCTATACATACATACATACATACACACGATAAAGTTTAATTTATAAATTAAGCACAATAAGAGATTACCAGCATTAATACTAAAGTACAACATTCATAGTAATATACCCTAATGCAAGTTACACGACTTTCATCTCTCACTGAAGGATGCACTTTATGTTGCCTCTGGCACATGCGTATTGCAAACATCGCTACTGCTGAGCTTTGGGGCCTTAATGAAGTAAAATAAGGGATGCTTGAACATATGCACTATGGTAATACTGCGGTAGTAGATCTGATAATGGAAATAGCTCCTAACTGATTATTGAGTAGGTAGAATATACCACCTGGATACACTGCACACAGGTGACTCATAACTCTGGAAGGCAAGGTGGTGGGTGATTTCATCATCTATGCTGAACAGCATGCATTTTAAAATGCAGGAAATGTTTATTTCTGTGATTTTACTTTATTTGAAGCATGGGATGCAAAACAATGGATAGAGGGAAGGCTACCATGATTTTTATGTGTAACTGGGGACAAGAAAAAAAATACTAACATCGATTTTTTGTGACTGAAGGAAAATTAAACAGCTGTTGAAAGTTATGAAGTATACAGGTATAATTATTTCACTAGCAATGAAGTAGTTTTATATTACCAGCAAAATAAATTTAAATAAATTTGCCACTTATTTCTAGGTGCGTCGTTCAAGAATGAGTAAAATGAGATTGGCTGATGAGTTCAAGCAGATGCTAAGAGAAGGAGGACCTTTTTCTCTTTGGCGAGGAAATGGTGTGAATGTTATCAAAATCGCACCAGAGACAGCACTCAAGATAGCGGCCTATGAACAGGTAAAGTGTCATTGACTATGGGGTTTTCAATGGTCATGTTTTCAATTTAATTTTTTTATAAGTTTAGACTTTTGTGAAAGAGAGCACAAGTGTATATAAGCAAGAGTTGCCCATGTAAATATTACTGACTTTTCTTTTCATCCGTGCTTTATTACTATAGAGTGCTTCTAGGGGTTGCACTGCATTATCACTGCAGGTCTGTGACTCATTCTTTTAAGTTAATTGTCACAGCATAAGAGGTGTTCACAAAACAGTTCATAATTTTTTTCTTAGAACGGTTTGAATGTTTCTCAGAGATTTCAGCCCATTTGTTAATGAATCAAGAATTAGCCTTCTTATTTAGTGAAGACAAAATTGAGAAATATTCCCTGAATTTCAAAGATTTTTGGTCTGATTTAAGATCTTGTTTTTACTTAAGTAATTTACTTTGAGACAGGACAGACATCAGTTTTCAAATATTGCAATTTATTTGGGTTTCATAAGAGTCTAAGGATGCTCTATAAGCTTCTCAAGTTTTTCCTCTTTATTGTGAATTTTAGAATAATTCTCTCCTCTTTAAATAAATGCTTAGCTAGGGCATTAAAGTGCTTCTTCTGCAGGACCTTTCTCACGTGGGCACAGAGCCGTACTGTTTTATGAAAATTTAAAAGATGGATGTTACCCTTTCTTAGGTCAGATGGTTGAAAAGCAAGTAGACAGATGATGGCTCTGAAATGCTTGTCATTAGAATATACAGCTCTTCCTAAAATGGAGATTTGCTGACTCATTCAACGGTATTGTTTTTATCAGCTAGTGTACACCTCATGTGTTAAAGACCCTTTCCTAAGTAATGGAAATGTAGCAAATAAAAACAAGCAAAAGGGTCTCATTTGTCTTTGTGGATTTTAAACTAAAAAACAATAATGGATGAATGAATGAATGCACGATCTCAGTGGTTGCTGGGAAAATAGAGGAGAGAGACTGGCAACTCTTTCTCAGCACGAGAAGAAGAAGAAGGGAGGGAAGTGGGGGTAGATGGGGAACGGGTCCAAAGAGAGGGGTTCCCTAGAGCTGGAAAAAGCAATGCTCCCAAAGTGACCCAGTGAGGGGGGTACTACAGAGACCAAGGCGGTATGCGAAGTGACTGTCCTTAAAAGGAGAAGAGCTTTGGTAAGAAACTGGAGCTGGGGCTCAGGAAGGCTTGGTGTTGCCCAGGCTCTTCAACCACAGGCCCAGGAGAAGCACTACTGAGTCAGGACAGCTGTAAGCAGGTTTCTTGTTGCTTTCTTCTTAATGCTTCAGTTTCTTTGGTAAAAATGGAAAACAAAGATATGCTGGAGGCTCAAAAGAGGGGAAACTATGAAAATTTAAGAGAGTCATAGTATAGATGGAACAAGGAAATGAAACAAGATTGGTGGTGGCAAAGGTCAGTTGAATAGTCATGAGTATAAAGTTGTATCTGGAAGCAGATAGATCCAGGAGATCTGAGTTACAATATCTTTTGAATTTTGGCAATTATTTTATTTCAGTATTTGTTATGTGCCTACACACATGAGCTAGGTCTTAGGTTTTATAGTAGAGTCTGGGGGTACATAAGAAAACAAGATATATATCAACTCTCTGCCCTTCCAGATCCACATTCTATCAAAAGTCCATGCTGAAATTCAGGGACGATTCATCTAAATGAAAATACCAATTTAAGAGAGAGAAATAGTGTGTTGTAAACATATAAAAAAGTTGTGTCCAATGTGTGTTCATGACTGTTAACTGGGAATGTCTATGCTGTCATTTATAAATGAAGAAGAAGAATGTTCTAGACTCTGTGTCATCAGCATGCCACTGTCACTACTTAAGGGGGCACGCAGTGACACAGAGGACACTCCAGGTAACGGTGTTACTAACCAGGACTTTGACTTAAAATGTCTAGCCTGCAGCCCTGGTGAGGTGGAATGAGTCACAGAGAGGCAGCAAAGGGCTCCTTTCCCTATTTTGTGCAACTTCTGATGAGTGACAGACAACAGCCTACTTGATGCTTCCTCCCTTTCGGCCCCATCCTGCTTCCTGCTGGCCTGTTCAGGGACACATTGCCTTGTAGGGATAACAAGAACGAAGGGGCTGCCACAGAGGGTGTGAAAAGCGGTAGCCAGCCCTGTTCTGTTGCACCTAGAATCCAGTTTTCTTGCTGTCGAGAAGCCCGTCTTTCCCTAGTTAACCCGTGTTCTTCTCCAGGTTTTCTCGGAGGCCCACTTTTCTCTTGATTCGGCAGAGAACTTTACTGGAGGATGGGTGTTGAGTGAGGCTAGGTCAAGTGAGTTGCAGCATTTCTCCAGAGACTGTATTTTACAGGTTAGACTGTGTGAAGTCCTTATCCCAATATTAAGCCTTCTGTAATTTCTCCCCATTTGGCATGTCCTGGACACTTACCATTGGCCACTTGACAACATACTGCTTTGACAGAAGAGTCTTTAAATTATACCCTAACGAACCCTGCTTTTCCTGTATTAATGCTGTTCACATTTTCTCTTACATTTTTCTCCTTCTTATGGAAATTCTTCCTAGAATCTATATCTTGCATTTCCTTTTCCAAGAAGAGACTTCCTTTAGAATCTTCTCTTCCTGCTGCAATCTGCTGGTTGCTTTTACTACTTTCCGTAAGTCAGAGTTAGGTTCAGAGGTGTGTGTGACAGAAATCCCCACACAACTTAAGACAGAAATCCATCACTTATGCACACATAGAAATCCGAGGAAAGGCAGAGAGTGCAAAGATGTCCTGTAGGCAAAAAGAAATTCCGTCACTTCCGGTTCACTGTCTGTCTTCTGTGTTGTAGTCCCTCTGTCATGAGTCTGAGCTGGAGCTCCAGCTATCACACCCAACTTCCAGGCAATAACTAGGGAAGGAATCAAAGATGGATACATCCCTCCCATCTAGGATACTTTCCCACACAGAATACTTAAGCTTCATGCCATTAGCTTAGACTTAGACACACAAATAGGTCTAGCTGGAAAGAACTTAGGAGTGTTGTCTTTAGTTGTAAAACAACTAGCTGCAAATGAATGTATTTCTGAGGATGAAGGGGAGAATGAATGTATGTTAGTATACACCTAGCAGTCACTGTCGGTCAAGGTTTGTCTTTTCCTTTAGGATCTGTTTTAAAATATTTGTTCAGGAAAAACCGCTTCTTTAGAATAGGGTGTGCAAGCTCATTTCCAGAACAGTGCCTGTTCAGTACTGAATGCCAATGAATGAGCTGCACAACGCCATTCTGTAGATGGGAAAACACAGGCAAGGAAAGATGCACTTCTTACTGAAGCCGTATTTGGTCAGTGAAAGAGTCAGAATTAGAACCCAAGTCATCATGCTTCAGGTCCTTTATCTTGAGGTGTTGCTTTTGATCTCACATTAGAGATTCACAAGGGCTATCACGTATTAGTGTGTATTAAAGAGGTGAATTGAGGTTCATTGTAAATTAAATTAGATACCAACATTTGTCAGTAATTAAGAGAGACTATGTAGAACAGTAGGTAAGGTGTTGAGGTCATGCACTTTGTAAACTTTCAATTAAAGAGGTTTTAAGTGTGTGTGTGTGTGTGTGTGTGTGTGTGTGTGTGTGTGTGTGTGTGTGCGCAGGTTCACAAAGCCAGGGCGTGTATGTGGAGGTCAGAGGACAACCGTCAGAAATCAGTTCTCTCTCGCTCCCTTGTAGGATCTGGAGCGCTAACTCAGGTTGTCAGACCTAGGAGCAAGTCTCTACCCACTGAACAATCATGCCAAATTTGCAGCCACACTTTCTAAATTCAAATTCTAACTCTCCCTCTTTCTAGTCATGCAAAGTAGGTCACATTACTTCCCCTGTCTGTGCTTTAAGTTTTGTAAATGTCCCTTAACTTAAAATAGAAGGAATAAGGATGAGGTGTCGTGGGAACCTAAAGAATTATGATGTGTATACCATGCTTATAGCAGTGTCTGACACAAATGTTAATGAGTGTTTGCTATCTTTAATCCATCCTAAGTTGTTTCTATGACAACTACACTTTAACTTATTTGTTACTGGGAAAGACAGGAAGACTTTATGACAACTAAGAAAACATTGTATATGACATAGACACATAGAACACGAAGCAAATATGCTTCTGTGTCCTAAATATGCTGGAAAATGGTTGCAAAATGTCTAAATAAAATATTATAAAGTTTAGGCTATACCAAAGCCCACAAGTTCTGTCTCCCCAGGTTCAGTAAACTTACTGGGGAGGTCATAGGAGTCAGCATGTTACTCCAGTCCTCATGGCTATGATTTATTACAACAAAAACACACAAAGGAAATTTGGCAAAAGTAATAGACTGGGTAATTTATAAAGAAAAGAGACTGGCCCTGAAGTCCAAGCCCTCTAGAAACCTTCAAGCTGCACAAATTTGTGTAGTCTCTCTGATTAGAACTCGTAATACTCCATTGAGCAGAAGTGATGAGAATGAGTGTTTTTGTCTCATCCTGGATCTTGAAGGGGAAGTTTTTACTTTCCCCCATGGATTATGAAGTTTGTCTCAGTCTGTCTACATCCATTGTATGCTGCTTCAACAAGTGTGAGACACGGGATAACTTATAAAGAAAAGAAATTTCTTTCTAACACTTCCAGAGACTGTGAAGTCCAAGGCTACTAACCCTTTGAGAGTCTTCAAGCTACACAATCCTGTGGTGGAAGATGGGAGGTCAAAAGAAAGCATATCAAAGAGAAAGAGGCAAGAGAGGCTACCTAGCTCCATTACAGCTCACTTTAGTAATCTTTGACCCACTCCGGTGATAATTAGGTTATCCCTTCTCAAACTGTTAATAAAGTTACAATGGTGTGATGGTTAGTTCTAGTGGGCAACTTGACACAGTTTAGAATCATCTGGGAAGAAAGGCTCAATGAGAGATTGTCTAGATTGGGTTGTCCACAGGCAACCTGTGGGGTTTGTCTTGGTTATGTTAATCAGTGTGGGAAGACTCAGCTTGAAAATGGGCGGCAACACCGAGGATAGAGAGAGCTAACTGAGTAATAAGCGTGCATGCGGTTTCTCTCCTTCTGATCTTTACTGTGGATGTTACTAGCCGCTTCAAACCCCTGCTGTTTTGACTTCCCTGCCATAATGGATGGTATCCTGGAACCATGAGCTGAAATAAACTTTCTCCCTTCACTTGCTTCTTATCACAACAACAGAAATAAAACTAGAACAAAAGACAATTAAATTCCAACATGAGTAGAAGAGGGACCACTCAAGCCACAGAGTCAGCTGAGAGCTTTTTCTGTTTGACCTTGATTGAATGGAAAAAAGTTCCTCCTATAAATACCTATTTGAAATTTTTTTTACCCAGAGTTTAATCATGAATGAATTTCAACCGTGCTCAGTGCCTTTTCTGTCTATTTAGATGATAATGTGTTTTTCCTTTTACTTAAGTGTTGTACCACGTTGATACATGTGAGTATGCTAAATCTTTGTGTTCGATACATACCACTTCATCCTGGGAGCTGATCTTTTTTTTTCGAGACAGGGTTTCTCTGTGTAGCTTTGCGCCTTTCCTGGAACTCGCTTTGGAGACCAGGCTGGCCTCGAACTCACAGAGATCCGCCTGGCTCTGCCTCCCGAGTGCTGGGATTAAAGGCGTGCGCCACCACCGCCCGGCGGGAGCTGATCTTTTAAGTGTGCTCTTAAGTTTGGTTTGCTAGTGTTTTATTGAGGAGTTTTTCATCTATATTCACTTGGGGTACTGCCTCTTGTTTTATTTTATTATGTGTTTGGCTTGGAGCCAGTGTGATGCTGGCCTCCTGAAGTGAATTTAGGAGTATCCTTTTCATTTTTCTTAAAGAGTGGAGAAAGAGTGACATCAGTTTTTTTAAATTAAAGCCATCCGACTACTGGTTTTCTTCTGTTGGGAGATTTTTGATTGGTGATCCTTTCTCCTTATTTGTTATTGATCTGTTCAGGTTTTTTGTTTCTTCATATTTCAGGTAATGACTTTATTTTAGGGGACAAAGTTATATCGTTTATTGGTCTATAGTTCTTCATAGACCAATATCTTATAATCGACCAGTATCTTATAATTATTTTTATTTCTGTGATACCAGCTGTAATATCCCCTTTTTATTTTTGATTTTAGTTTTTTTTTTTTTTTGGTTTTTCGAGACAGGGTTTCTCTGTGTAGCTTTGCGCCTTTCCTGGAACTCACTTGGTAGTCCAGGCTGGCCTCGAACTCACAGAGATCCGCCTGACTCTGCCTCCCGAGTGCTGGGATTAAAGGCGTGCGCCACCACCGCCCGGCTGATTTTAGTTTTTTTAAAAAGGCATTTACTTCACCCCCTCATTTAAAAAAAAAATTTAAGATGAAATTTTGCTGTTTTGAAGGCTACCTCAGTCTCCCAGTAGCTGGGATTATAGGCACGCACCACTATATTCAGCAACATGACTCCTTTTTAACGGCACTGATCTCTTAGCAACTTTTCTATGTACCCCCTTTTCTGGACAGTCTTTCAGCTCTGCTCACCCCACCCCCCAGTTCTTATGGCATATCAGCCTAAAAGAGGCCAATGCATGCTGCAGCTTGAATGCTAATTTTCTCTGCCAAGTAAAGCATTCTGTCACCTTGAAAGTCTGACATGCAAAATCCCAGGCCACAAACAACATGCATCCTAAATTTTTTTTAATGTGTGTGCCTGCATGCATGTATGTTTATTGTGTGTATGCCTACTGTCTGTGGAGGTCAGAAGAGAATACTAGATCCCCTGGGATTGGAGTTAAGAATGGTTGTAAGCCCCCAAGTGGGTGCTGGGAACTGAGCCCAGGTCCTCTGCAAGAACAGCAAGTGTTCTTAGCCACCGGACCATCTCTGCACTTCCATCCTAACACTTGTATAGGGCTGACAAGGGTGGCCCGCAGGCTAACCGAGTCCTCATAAGCTTTACTGTCCTAGTCTTCCTTACTATACTTTTGTAACCAAAGAGTCTGCCATGCTGTTTCTAATTATCTAGTTACCAAACACACTGTCTTCTATGTGCAAAGCAGAGTGCCAAAAAAAGATAAAAATACAACTTCTGTTTATGTTATTTACATGCTGCTTATGATATAACACATTCATGAATAGACTTAAGTAATTTAGTGTAGCTATTGAATTATTCCATAGAATAAATAAAAGAAAAAAGCTGAATAGAGAGCTTTAACTTATCTATTACATAGAAACTAAAATTTAGTATTGTACTAGGTTGTGCTAATATTCAGCACCTGATATGTAATATATTTTAATATAATTTTATACTTTTAGTTACTGCTATAAAACTTGAAAGGCATATATTTCAGTAATACTATACATTTCAATATTTCTATTTATACAGTATAAGAAATTTCTTAGTTTTGATGAATCTAATTTAGGAGTTCTTCAAAGATTTATAGCTGGTTCCATGGCTGGTGCAACTTCCCAAACCTGTATTTATCCCATGGAGGTATGTATTATTATAACATTTTAATTAAAATAATGCTTTTAATGCAACTAACAATCAGAAATGGCTTCCAGATCATTATAATAACTTTGTATGATTTGAATCTTGTATAAAGTGTCAGTCTCAATTAACTTTATTGTTGTTTGAGACAAATGATGTTGTAGATAGACCAAGAAAATACATTTATTTAGTCACTTGGTAGGTGAATATGGATTGTATGCATGCTGAGCTTAAGATACTTTGCTAGGTGCCATGTAGGATCCAAGGGGGACTGAGATGGGGATTTTGATCATGTATTCCATAGTCTATAAAGGAAAATAAAACATATACATTCATATCAATGATCCAAAATCGAAAAAAGTTGTAGAAGAGAGCTCACTATATAGTGCTAGGGAAACTCAAAGGGAAGAATTTATTTATTTCTGGTTAAGAATTCAATCAAAGACAGGACCAGAATGTGTGATCTTGGCATAGGCTTTGAACATGAGGGATTATGAAGAAAGGCATTTTCAGTGGAAATAGCAGGTTGAACAAAGGAAAGGAAATTTTAATACATAGACACTTAGTTTTCCACTGTTTGAGGCGTTTTTATTGTTGTTGTTTGTGTTTGGTTATTTGAGACAGTATCTCACTCCATAGTCCAAGTTAGCCTGGAAATCACTATTCAGCCCAGGCTAACATTGAGCTTGTTGGCAATCCCTTGTCCTGGTCTCCTGTGTCTTGAGATTACAGGCATAAGCTATAATTTTTATAAAATTTGTAAGCATGACATAACAAACCTCACTGGATTGCTGCATAAGCCAGGTGAATCTAATCAATACCCTATTATTACATTACTATCTTTTACACCTAGGTGATGAAGACCAGGCTGATTTTAGGTAAAACTGGCCAGTATTCTGGGATTATTGATTGTGGCAGAAAGCTTCTGAAGAGAGAGGGCATTCGGACCTTCTTCAAAGGCTACGTTCCCAACATGATAGGCATCGTACCGTATGCAGGCTTAGATCTCGCCACCTTTGAGGTGAGTTCATTCTCAAAGCCATTACATTATACATTATATTTGACAATGTGACACAAGATTTTTATTTTGGAATATAGATATGGCTTTGCATGAAATAGCTTCTGATCAAGAATCAAATTGATGTTCTCATTTGCCTTTCTCTTAGACATCTGGTAATCTAGTCATTTTTATTTTTGTTTGTTGTTTATTTTTTGTAACTTACTTCTTGGTAATGATGATTATAGATATAACTTCTGATAAAATAGTAGTTTTTAAGCCCTGGAAGTGCATCAGAATCACCTACTTGTAGATCTTTAAAAGAATAGACCCCCTTGGCCACATCCTGAGGTATTCTGATTTAATTTTCCCAGGAAGAACTGTTGCAGTTGGAATTTTCTTTGTGCTGCCAAACCAACTCCCAAATAAAGACACAGAGACTTACTATTGATTATGAATACTCAGCCTTCACTTGGGCTTGTCCCACTAGCCCTTCTAACTTAATTTAACCTGTTTCTATTCATTTATGTTTTGCCTCAGGACTTTTTACCTTTCATTCTATATGTCCTACTTTCCTGCTTCCTCCGTGTCTGTCTGTCTGGCCCCTGGCATCTCCCTTTTATCTCTTTTTCTTTCTTCTTTTCCAAGCCTAAATTCCTCCTTCTACTTACTCTCCTTGCCCAGAAGTCCTGCCTATACCTCCCCCCTTGCTATTGGCCGTTCAGCTTTTTATTAGACCAATCAGGTGCCTTAGGCAGGCAAAGTAAAACAGCAACACATCTTTACACAGTTAAACAAATATTCCACAACATAAACAAATGTAATACATCTTTACATAGTTAAATGAATGCAACACATCTTTGCATAGTTAAACAATTTCGCAACAGCCTGGGATTCAGATTTCCTAACTGCACAGAAGAATCTGATGTGTAGATAAGGTTGAGAAAACAGAACTATTCTTGCATGGTTGTGAAGATTAGAATCAAGGAAATGAATAAACATGGGTTAAAGATGAGAGCCAGCCTAGAAGTGAAACCCTGACAGTGTAGTGTTATCAGGCAGGGTCACAGGCATTTCATGGTCATGATCATACATTTGTCTCAGGACAGATTTGAGATTGGCATAAAAATGCTATTGTGTTAGTTTCTGTGGAGAATATCCAGAATTATTGCTCTGGTCTCTAAATCCAAAACAATAAAAGGAAAACAAAACAAACAAACAAAAATAAAAACAAAGCCAGACAACAACACATAAGAAACATAGACATATAAATGCAGAGTGTGAAGCTGAGGTGCTAAACTTTATTCTACTTAGAGTTGCAAGATGAAAGGTCCTCTCTTCTCCACCAGCTTCTGAAGAACTACTGGCTGGAACACTACTCAGTGAATTCAGTGAACCCCGGGTTAATGATCGTGCTGGGCTGCAGCACACTGTCGCACACTTGTGGTCAGTTAGCCAGCTTCCCCCTGAACCTTGTTAGAACTCGCATGCAGGCAGGTGAGTGTTTCAGTAGTTTAGTTTAGTGATGCCATCACTAAGGTAAGGAATATGTTTTAAGTAAGTAGGAATTGATGGTTTGAAAAACAGAAAACTGATAGAATTGGTTAAGGAAAGCTAACCAGTTTGAAATATTAGATCGGAATGTATTGTTGTTATTATTTTAATTTATTTATTTTATTTTATGTGTATGAGTGTGTTGCTTGAGTGTATCTACATGTTCTCTGTAAGTGCAGTGCATGAAGCAGCCAGAAGAGTGCACTTGATCTCTAGGAGCTGGAGTTAGAGATGGTCATGTGCCTCCATGTGGGTCCTGGGAACTGAACCTGGGTCATCTGGAAGAGCAGCAAGTGCTCTTAACCATTGAGCTATCTCTCTTGGAAACTTTTGTAAGTTCCAAATGTTTTTGTTTTTCCCTCCAAAGTTCTGTCTGGGACCTTCCACATTTGCTGCAGTTACTGATGATCTCTTTAAGAGGACTTTAACTAGGAAGTGCCATGCAGAGCAGTGTAGGCTTTCTTTCTTTAAATCAAAGCAACAGCTAACCCGCGGAGGCACGTCGCTCTTCTTGGTTTTGCTGTTACTGTTGTAAACGGCTCTGGGACTCTCTGTACTTCAGTCTGCTCAGGGAGGTGATGTTAAGGACTGTGTGTTTTATTTTCTTGGTGAAATATTAGGGATTTAGATGTTAACAAATGAAAAAAATCACTTTTCAAAGATGGAAAAACAACACAATGCTATTATCTTTTGAGTAAATTAAGGATATGCTTTAGCTTTTTCTTTCTAAGTTGGGCTTTGGGTTCAATTTATATTGCAATTGAGGTGGAGAATTTCCCTGCCTAGCATCACTCATGCCTTCTTCTGTTCAACTACCCTTCAGTCCCACTTCCAAATGCTTCTGTGAAGTCTCTCATGAAAGACTTGCAAGTTGTTCAAGGGAACTTTCTGCACTGATGAAATCATCTATATCTGTACTGCCCAGTATAGTAGCCACCAATTAGATGCGGCTGTCAGGCATTTGAAATGTACTAATATGACTGAAGAGTGGAAATTTAATTTAATTTTAATTAAACAGTCACATGTATAGTTACTACCCTATTGAGCAACATAGGATTATTCTATATATGAGTATCCTCTGAAATGATTTCAATTTCTATAAATTCTCATTATCTTTGGGCTAGATTAACAAGTAAGTATGAAGTATTGAATTATACTATGTTTTAAAATTTATAGCTATCCGGAAAAATGAAACAATACCTATGTTGCAGCTCATTAAAGAAATATACACTAAAGAAGGAAAGAGGGGATTTTACAGGGGTCTTACCCCTAACGTCATCAAGCTGCTTCCTGCAGTGGGCATCGGCTGTGTGGCTCACGAACTAGTGAAATTCCTTTTGGGATTAACCTAGAAGTGGAATATCAAACCGCCACCATTGCCACAATCACTAAGGTACAAGATAATCCTGGGCTCTCAGATGATCTTACTGTTTCCTAAAAGGAAAGGAATATCAACTAATTGTAAAATTACTTTGTCTTTATTTATTATAAAATATACAAATTAAACAATAGTTTTGGTAGAGTTCTTTAATAATTTCAAATCCTTTATTATCCACAGAATTCTTATTTTACATTTCCTGTTACTGTCTCCTTAAACCTAAAACTAGGTTTTGATTGGGTGCTAATATATCGTTCAATCACATTAGAAAACATTTGGTAAGCTACACTAGAGTTTTTGCTAGCATGCTCCTTTTAAGTTATGAGCATGTTTTACACAGTAAAGCAAAAGTCAGTGCATTTAAATTTGACACTATAGTTCATCTCTTCAGCAAAGGGAAACCCATTCCATAATTCCTTCTAGAATGTTATGGATTGGGCGACACGCTTTGTCACTTCCCTTGCTAGTCCTGTGTCCCTTCAGTTTCTGCACATCCCATCCCCCCCACCCCACCCCCACCCCAAGACCGGTTTATCTTTCTAGACATCTTTGTAGACAAGAGTTGCCTTTCTTGCCTAGCCTGGGGGAATTCCTGTGTACATGGTTTCCACAAACCCTGAGAATGATTTGCTAGGGGCAGCGGCTTCTCTTTCACTCCACTGGGAAAACATTGGCTAACATTTCTTAATTGAGGGCCCATTGGTGTCCTCAAAAGTCCTACTCACTTCAACCATCTCAGGTAATCTAATTGAAACCAGTTGCTGGAGCTGGAGGTGGGGCAGCTGTCTCCTGCTGGGAGGGAGGGAGGGAAGGAGGGAGGGAGGGCTAAGTGTGTGACTCACAGCACATTGTCTCCAGAGTTCCTCTTCAGAGTCGCTGCCTTTTATTTGCACTGTGAGTGGGAGCTTCAGGGGTCATAAAGTTGACTGAGCAATAATGCTATTATGACCTTATATTTCGCTTTAAAATAAGATGTCTATTGTCGGAACTCTGTTAATAGTTGGTTAGTTATGTATTATTTTTTTTTACTTCATTAGCAAATATCAATTGTACAGAAATGGATAGTTTTACTGTGTCATTTTCATACATTATGCTATGAACTTTGATCACATTCAACCATAAACTCAGTTAAAAAGTGAGCAAAGGACTTGGATTGACATTTTCCCAAAGAAAATATACAAATGACACAAATAAGCAAATAAAAGTTCCTTGATATTCCTGACCACAGGAAAAGCAAATTCAAACCTAAATGAAATCCCATTTTACACCACTGTGATGGCTATTACTGAGAAAACCCTAGAAAACAGCAGAGTTCTGGTGAGGATGTGGAGAAACTGGAGCCCTGTGCATTGTTGATGGAGGATGGTGCCACTGCTGTGGAGAATAGTTCTCAGGAGGTCTCATCATCAAAAAGAAGAATGATCCTGCTGTCCCGCAGCTTACGCTGATGTGGATATGGCTCTGTATGCCGTGAATGTGTTGCTCGATAAATGAAACGCGGATTGGTCAGTAGCCAGGCAGGAAGTATAGTATAGGCAGGACAGGAGAGAGGAGAATTCTGAGTCAGGAGATGCTGCCAGCCGCTGCCATGAGAAGTAAAATGTAAAGTACCGGTAAGCCACAAGCCATGTGGCAACTTATAGATTAATAGAATGGGTTAATTTAAGATATAAGAACTAGATAGCAAGAAGCCTGCCAGGGCCATACAGTTTATAAGTAATGTAAGTCTCTGTGTGTTTACTTGGGTCTGAGTGGCTGTGGGCCTGGTGGTACTGGAGAAATCTCCAGCTACATTATGCTATTTGAAAAAACAGTTCAAAGCAGGGGTTCAAGGAGCTACTTGCTCATCTATGCTCATATCAGCATTGTTTGCAATAACCAAAATGTTCGAGCAACCTGGAAGTCCATCTACAGGTCAATAAACTGTGGTTCGTGCATATAATGGAATGCTCTTTCTCTTTTAAAAGAAAATCTTGGTACATATTACAATATGGATGACCCTGGAGGATATTATACTAAGTGAGATAAACTCGTTACAAAGTATAAACACTGTATGTTCTCTTATATGAGGTACCAAGATTGATTAGACTCA